TTTCGGGAACAGCTTGTTTGATTATTTGTGAAATGTCTTTGTTCGTTACGGCGGCAAACGGGAAACCATTTTTCTCGTAACTTACGCGAGTTTGGCGTTGCTCGCTCGGAGGAGCCGGAGGTGAATCAGTGAATAGCACTGGATGTCCCGACTTTAAGTAGCCAATGAGAGTGCGCAAAACACTATCCACTGTTATAGTATTTACTAAAAACTATTAAAGATAGTTCATAAAACCTAGACACAAAGACATGTAATAATTATACCTTCCTACTTTAGTAAAATATATTGTGAGATAATATAAAGTGCAATCTAGTAAGACCTCTACGAGTTCCAAAGACTCTCACTCTCAAAACGAGGCTGAGAGCAAAATGAGGTTTTTTGCATGAGAATAAAAAGTTGATTTCATATCAATAGCTTCGCACTTAGCCTCGCTTTGAAACGGAGGCTTGGGACAACTTGAAAAAGGCTTATTCAATAAGTAAATTTACAGCATAAATAAATTGCAGCATAATACTTGACGCATGAAGGACATACCCTATCTGTTGAGCTCCTATCATCCAAAACTCCTTTTAGCCCCCTCTCGTTAATCCTTTCTAGTTTATTACGGCCTGACTTCCTACAAAAGTGCCATGTTAACCCGCAGTATGAGAAGTAGGGGAGGACAGCAGACTTATATATTCGTAGGGATGTCAATCAAATTTTCGCTCACTTCTTTTTATCAAAAAATGAAAAACAAAAAACATAAAAAAACAAATCAAAACAAAAACAACAACAACAAAAAATAAAACAAAACAAAACAACAACAACAAAAACAAAAACCTAGAAGGGTCTAATGTTATCCCTTTTATCATAACCTGTAGCCCGTTTTTTAACCTAATTTTTAATCAGTCAGAGTTTGTTATTGAAAAGGTTTATTTTAAGAAAGTTATCCTTTCAACACTTTTGCCGAGGTTTTTTCCGTCTGTATCTATTTCCTCCATACGGCACTAGCACATTTCCCATAAGGCACCTTATTGCCCCTCCCCTCCCCAATTTTTGCATAACCTTTGTTTTTCATCTCTCCTGGGTATTACAGCCATTCCAGGAGAAACTGAAAACAATGCTTATGCAAAATCTTAAGGGGCAAATAAGGTGCATTATGGGAGATGTGCTGGTGGCGTATTTCTTTATCTGTTTCTCTAGAAGAATGTGGATAGCTGACTCTTCTGTCCACAGAGAAAACGTCGTTTTGATATACATTTAAGGATGGTTTTCACTAGCGACGGAGTCGGAGTCGGAGTCGGAGTCGTAAGCGGAGTCGAAACAGCGCTTATCGAAGCCGGAAGAAGAAGCGGAAGAATAAACCAATCACAATACACGTTCCCACGCTTTGTGATTGGTTTAGCTCTCCCCCTTCTGCTTGCGACTCCGATAACCTTAGTTTTCACTTGATCATAAGCGACGGAGTCGTAAGCGGAATAACAACGCCGTTTTCAGTAGAACGTTAAGTCTTACGCCTCTGATCACGAATCCGACTCCGACTCCGTCGCTTGTGGAAACCGGCCTTAATAAGTAACAAGTTAGTAATCCCAGTGTCAATCGTTGCGGAAAGCCTCTTATGATTTCCTCCCAGTATCCAGTCACATGACCAAGCTTTATTCTATTTCTATGTACACGCGGAAATGCGAGCTCAACAGGCTGAGGGCTTGACAGTAATTGCTCAAACACAAAGATATTACTTACTTAATGGCGGTGTATTCCAGCTGCGGCTTGTTAGATTTTGTGTCGGTTCCACAGACAAAATTGCTTTGACATCCTATGACATTGTAATCCCCGGGGCTTACTCCATCTTTATACCACCGACAAACCTTAGAGGAATAGAGGTCGCACAAAGAAGTGAGTGATGCAAAAAAACCCTCAGTCTACAAATTTTGCGTTAGTTTTCTTTACATACTTTAAAAACTTTGAAGACTATTCGGAGATGATGCTTTTGTGAACGCTTTATCTTTACAATGACGCCATGGACCTTTGTCGATGACTAGAAGCGTACCTTGGTCGGGCAAAATTTCAGTTGACTCAAGGCAAGAAGAACATTTTTCTGCACCTCAATGAAACGCCTTCATTAATCTCACAAATGCCTTTGATACGTGAATCACGCTACACTTTTGCGCACATCGAGTTTGTTTCATCTTAAAATCTCCATTTCTCTTTACTGTTTTGACTTTAGGAGCAGATTGCTGCTTTTTCATGCATGTTTTTGTTCCAGATCTAAAATCTACCGGAATTCTTTGGTCCGTAGTTGTGGTTTTGCCTTTCAGAGCATAAAATGAGTTATTCACTCTTAACAATTTTATTTACCGATAATTGGAGAGAGAGCTTTTTACCATTTTAACTACATCCTTTTCTCACTGTCAAGAATTCTCATCATTCTTAAAGGAAGTTTTTAAATACTTACAGCTACATTGTCACCTGTACAGGGACCACCCTTCGAGAAGGAGCGACAAGGATTGTACCCGTACTCCCAATCTTTCGTGCCTTCCGCGGTAAAAAATCTGTTTTAAAATCAGCAAATCAGTTTCTCTTAACATTGGTGTATAAATAGATAGGTTTTGTATTTATCATAGACATACAGAGATACACTCACTGAAAAGCTATGTCGTAAATTTTTCATATGCCAATGAGTTCTAGCCAATCAGAATAGTTCTTATATTCCACTGTCCATGAATAAAATTGTAGAGAGCCGGGGGAAAAAGGAACTAGACGTAAGCTCAATGCCCCACTCACACCAAAGCTTACACTTGTTTGAAAGCTTTTAGTCAGGTCTCTTAGTGCAAAATATAGGCCGGATCGTTACAGACGTGACAAAAGTGTCAAATTTGGCTCAGAGCTTCCTTAGCACCTGCCGATTAATACTGAAGGGGGTGCCCGTTACAAATGGTCCTAATTACAGATAAAGGGGGGTTAACTTTCACCTATAATAGCAGGTTGGGTGCCCTGTGGTGAGTACTCTTCTTGTTTGATTTGGCTAAAAAACATTTGTTTCAAGTTTTTAAGTTTTTAATTTGGTAATGTTTAGTTGTTGTTACACTATTCAAAATAGTTTTACATGTACATAATATTGATTAGTGCCCAGTCTCCACACGGTAAGTGTGGTCAATCATGTTCACTGTATGGCTATCAGTGTCACTGCTAAGACTTGCTAGTGATAATATAATTACATATCAATTTAAACAGATCACAAAGCCAGCTTTCAAAGATGTCATACAATAACAAAAACCCAAATGTATCACATCCTAAACAATAGAATCGTTAAATTTTGACATGCCACATGGCCGACCTCATGCACCGTAACTGACAACGCGCCCACGTTGTAATTGTGCAGCTAAGATTAGATTATAATTTGCTTCGTTGGTAACCCTGTCCTTGAGATAATCATAAAAACATGTCAATCTCGTCCTCAGGGGGAAAAGGAGCAGCAAGGGTGGCACAGTTGGTTAGTGCGCAGCCTTCAGTGCGCGAGGTCCCGAGGTCGATCCCCGGTGTCAACACATCCTTATTTCAGCTTCTCTCCTTTCTGTGTACCTTTGACTAGCTTTAAATACCCTTAAAACGGAGCATTAATGTAGAGAGAGGGGTAAAAGGAGCACACCGTTGACCTCTAGTTTATCAGTTATTATTACTGTCACGAGTGATTGACGTAAAATATGGTCGCTTTACCTTTTTCTACCTTTTTATTAAGCCCTGGGGGCGAGGTTGTAAAACATGCCTCTCCAGGAATTTTTAACACTTTATTTTTTACACATTTGCATTTGAAAAGAAGTGTATGAGGTCCCTGCATGCCTAGACACCTGTAAGGAGCTCATTCACTTCAGAGCCCTCGCACCAGAGTGTTAATGGTAGGTCTATACGATCTTTCAAAAAAAAAGGAAGGTCGTCGCTTGCGATACAGTTTACAAACAAACTAAATTCAGAAGAGCTGAAAGTTACAGGAACAAGGCCTCTTTTAGCCAACCAATGATCTATCATTTATGAAAATGAATGTAATTTGTTTGATGCAGTTAGGCGAATACCCCGTGGTTACGAAATCTTACGATAATGAATTCCTCAAGAGCAATTCAGTTACCTACTTTTCACAAAATAATGCTCTGTAAAATTACAGAAAATACCAAAAAAAAGCAAGGGTCAACAATAATTATGGCCTGGTCCCTTATAATAATAGAGTGGTCATGATAAAGAAGCCCATCAGCCCCATCTTTGACCACTCAAACAGATTTCTGACAGATTACATACCGCAAAACTTTGCATTCACTTATGCCTATGTTGCCACACTAGGAGCGTAGAAATCGGCACCTGGTCACACCTTATTGTTATTGGTGAATATCATTCTAAAGAGCTTTACGAAATGTTTTGAACATGATTGAAATTTAGAGATGGTGAAAAAAACGAACACAAAAAAAGTTACAAAACGAGATGCATGAAACAACCTCAATCTAATATTCGTGTTACACCGATTTAATGGCTCCTTTGGCTGCGATGCTGACGTTTTTGAAGATGGAAGTAGTATCACAGCTAGTCCCGGGTTAGGTATACTGTTTATTACCAGTTTCACAGTTCTTGAGTTCTGTTCACATAAAGGTTGGGGACCCCGGGTAGGTGAGGTAACGTGCTTAGGTGGGGTAAAAAAAAAATAACCTTCCTTTACATGCAATCTTACAACCCCGCCACCCTGGGGTGCACTTTCTCAACATTATTGAATGGTCGCTAAGCACGTAAACAAGAAAAATACCAGCAAACCACGTCTACGCTCACTTGCTGCTCTTGCTGCAATCTTCAGTGTTGTGGCTTTCTATCGTTACCTTTAATAACTATGTGAAGCCACCCGGCGCCAAAGTGAATTTTGCGTGAATTTGATGTATCACGAATCCGACCCCGACTAGCCTGGGTTACCTCACCTTGAAACGTTGACATGGCAAAATTTAACCTCAGCTGAGACGGTGACCCGGTGTTGCAGACCGAGCTGACCACCTTAAAGGGTCACCCCACCTTTCATGTAAACGTGATCAAATTAAAATGAGAGATTATATGGACAGGCGGGTTAATACCCCACCTAAGTTAGTTACGATGATTACCTGGGGTCCCCCTCGTCCATGTAAACTTAACTTAACTTAACTTAACTTACTTTATTAATACATATCACACACTTGAAGACAAAATACACAAGAAGAGCCAAAGCCGGGGGCTTAAATGGCCTAAGGTCAGCAAAAAAAAAAAAAAAAAAAAAAAGACGTGAGGAATTTACAGGAATAGAAGAAGGCTTTAACTAAAATAATTACAATACAATTAAATCAAGAATGAAAAGGTCAGTCAGAAAAAAACTTACAACTGAAATACATGGCACTAAAAGTTAGTCCGGCCCTCTTTCTACAGTTTCAGCAGTTAAGCCATTTATCATTTGAGTCAATCTTGTACCACTTGAGTCTCACTTTTAAGACTTGATAAGCTGTTAATATTTTTGGACACTGAGTGCTTCAGTGCCAAATGTAGAGGCTTCATGATGAACCGTGCTGTTTTGTGAAGCTTGGGCTAACTTTTTTCTTTTTTTCCTTTTTGAGACCAGATTTTTTGTTGTTAGTTTTTGCTTTGTAAAGCTTAGACAAACTGCGGGAATTGTAAATGGTATGTACTTGTGCCACGATGCTTTCTTCTCTGTCAAAACATGCACAAGCGTCCAGCAGATAAAGAGAGACTAAAAGGTATCCAGGCCTATGTTTAGCTGAAAAATTAATTACCTCCTTAGGAAAGAACTATTTTGGGTTCTGTCATTTCGTTATTTGCTCTTGATGAACAGCTGTCATAAATCCCTGATAATTTGTGATACAACAGACTCTTTGACAATTTCTTTTTTTCCTGAAATTTTGTGCGTGAATCGCTATGCCATACGCTTTCTTTAGCTTAAAGTGACATGTAATACCAAGTAATACTTGATAAATAACGCTTAAGCCACACAATAAGGCCTCCTCTAATTTAAATACATTAGAAAAGGAGAAGAGAACCCCAGAAGCTGAGTACTTGCAAGTTATGAAGCAAAGACGGGGCCATCTTAGAAATGACTTATAAAAAGGTGGGCGGACTGTGGACTTGTTGTAAGGGCACAGTAATAATCAACTTAATTATACAATCAAAAAGCTAATAATGGATGGGAATGCCAGATGTTCAAGTGAAGTTGTTGTTTACAACATGAGAAGAGTATTCTGAGTGATTTAAGGTATTAAATAACAATTTTCAATCACAACACCACAGGGACCCGAGCAGGTGAAATTTACAATAATTAAATCCTGTTTAGCACGCTTTAGTGGCATATTTGCATTGCGCACCCCCTCTAATATTCATGGTACTGCAATAAGCTATCGCTGTGTAAAGTTTGGTGCTTTTGTCAACTCTGTAACGATCCTGACCTTAAGAGACCTGACTATTTTTAGTTAGACCTCGTTCAAAATTGTTTTCTTCAAAAAGCTTCTTACTGACTTTTGGCTAGTGAAAATTATATGCAAATCACAGAGCATGCTAGAGTTAATTAAATCTTGTATAAATGGCTGCGTTCCAGTTTTCCATTGCTGTTTTTTATTTAAAAAACTGGTTTATATCAATTAAAAATGTTTAGTTGGTGTGAGTGGGGAATAAACTGTACTTTTTATCGGAGCTATATAAACTATTTTCTCTTCTCTTTATATTCAGTCTGGCTATTTATTCCAATTCATTATTCGTTTTCAATTGTACATTCAGACTTATTCACTTCGCTGGGGTTTTATTCCATATGGAAGTACTTTTATAGAATGTTAGTATTTGAGAAATTGTGAAATATTTTCAGAGCGTTTTTGTAACGAAAGGAAAGTAGGTGACGGGTATGTTTGAAATTATGAGATAAGAGAAAAATTTAGATCTGAGGGTAATTGAAATAATGAAGTTTGTTTGGAACATTTAATCGGAAAATGCCAGACAGGATGCTAAGAGGGCCTATCCACTATAAGTAGCCCATTGCTGGATTATGTTTTCGCTACACTGCAAATTTTAGCCATTGTTCTCAAAAGAACTGGAATGCTACCTTACTTTAATGCCGTTAATGTTTTACAAACCTCGGAACATCACTTTCATCTCTTTGCAGTGGAGCCAGGTTGTACACCGCTCCGTTCTTATCAAAGCACCAACATCTGTAATTAGCTTGCAGGGGAAAAGAAGCGTCAAAATTTTTGCCTTAGACCAAATATGGAGATAAAAAATACACTGATAGAATTAAAAAGGGACAAAAATGACGAAGGGGTTAACGGCGAGGAGGGGTTGGGGTGGTTAAACGTTTGTCAACTTAGCTACGCCAGGAAAGTATTTAACAAAAACCGACAACAAGGTAAAAAAAAAAGCCACTTTCACAAGAATCCGCACACTTTTGAAAACCCTTTTTCAGGGTGCGGGGGAAAGTGTCTCCAAGGAAATCAGTGGTTCAGTCCTCGTCCCAGTATGACGTCA